CTTTTTCAAATGGAAGTTTGAGTTAGAGATTCCCAAGATTTCCCTGTTCAAAGTGCAATTTTCGAGGGAAATCTTCTCAACATTGAAATGCAGTTACGTTCGATCGTGAGGGGAACTTCGAGTTGTGTAGAGTCTGGCACTAGCAGCTAGCCGTGGAACGAATCACTTCACCTTCACTCGAGAATTGATCCAAATTTTCGGTTGGAGTTGATTCGTACCCTGCGCACAGTGGGTCGAGTCAATAGGAGAAGTTGGACAAAATTTGCTTGTAAAAAACGCTTACAACTCCGTTTATACACATTTTTGAAGTTCTATGAGTGACTCAATTGGTTTCTTCATAAAATTTTCTAATAAAAACACCTCTTGAAATTGAAAATTTGGCGAAATAAACATTACAATTTGCAGTTTTGGTCAAAAATTCCATATCCGATCTCTATGATTGACTGGATCTACCGTGCACGGAGAAAAAAAAAAACTTCGTGCGTTCGACCCGAAGTTGAGGTCATGTTGATCTCTGAATTTTTCGGATCACGTATCTAAAAACTTGAGGTCCAGCTGCCGAAGTTCCAGTCAGACATCTGAAGTACCTCGATGTATACCGAAGGGTTCAGGTCACACATCTGAAGTACTCCGGAACATACCGAAGTGCCTCGATGTCTGACCCGAACTTCGGCAGCTCGACCTCAAGTTTTCGGATGCGTGATCAGAAAACTTCAGAAATCCATATGACCTCAACTTCGGGTCCCATGCACGAAGTTTTTTTCTCCGTGTGCGGCGTAGCGATTAAGTGGTGATAAAAGAATGTTCCGCGAATTCCCGTTTATCCCAATTCGACTTCCCCGGGAGAGGGATCGGGCGCTTGTATAACGCACGATTCCATCTGTTCCGACGTAATTTAATTGAGGTGAAAGCCAGCCGAGCAAATATCATGGAAAGCACCGGGCTCGCTGTGATACATTAGATTTAACTCAGTTGAGTGATTTTTTATTAGTCCGCAAGACGGAGGAACGAGTGAGGATAGTGCGGACAGCGTATCGGAGAGGCCAATCTACTTCCGCACAAAGCGACGACACAACATAAGACTTGCATGAGGCTCGGCTATTTTCCTCCTTCTCCCGGAAAAAGCAGCTAAACGGATTTCCTCCGCTTCCGTCCAGCCGAGATCAGTGACGTGGCGTGCTTTGCGGTATATCGATTGATCTGACATTTAAACCTGGGGAAAATGATCGATAACAGGGTGTTCGCAACGAACACCTTATCAATCGATTCTGTACCGTAGATTCAAATGGGGAAATGTCGATAATCGATCATTCGCGCCCAAGCTGACCGCATTGACGTTACGACGGAAAAATACCATTGTGAAAATCAGAGACGATTGAAAAATGGAGATGTTGCATGTGGGAGGAATTTGCGAATAGACTGTTGATTCTGATGCAAAAGTTGGCGAGAAACACGATGGTGCCACTAGTTTTCTTTGAAATCAACTCACAAGTTTAAAGAAGCTCTCAAGTTGCCTCTCGCTATTCCTCTCCATCATGCATTGTGACAATTGATTACTGTAATTAACTTGTTTCGGTGTTTTGTTTTAACTGCTTGCTGAAGATGGGCTAAGCTCGAAATGCATCCAAGCCAATAACTTATTGAACAATATGCGTGTTTCGGTATACTTTTTCATCTTTATCATAACAGCACGCGAGATGCGTTTTTCCAGCAATTCTAGTATGCTAAGGTCCTGTGACCGTTACGCGGCCGCCAACCACTGAGAAAAACTACACGTAAAAATAGTAGAACAACCACGCTCAAGGTGTTTAAGAGATGAATGGATTCAAAAGCCGACGGGTGCGCGTGAATGGAGGCGTATTTATCTCTGATTGCAACATTATGCACAAATTTTTATGTCTCATTTTTGAAAACCGTTTTTAAAAGGCTACCCGCAGTTTTTCTGAAGAGTTCCCACGAATTTTACGAAATGATCTCAAATGTAAGTATCGAAAATTTTGACGCGATATTTTCGTGCATTTTGTTTTCTGCGAGGTAACAAGAAAAATTAAATATCCTAGTTTCTGAATCACTACAACGAGGATGCATATTTACCCTTTAGTTGGGGTAAAAACCGGGCAGAGACCGTCAAAAGAAAATGACGCGTGTTCCCAGTTTTGCGTCGCGCAAACCAAGGAAGAGAGCGGAGCGCATTGCGTTTGGTGCAATGCGAGAAGTATTCATACAGTCTTGTAGGCGCTAGTATGCGCTTGAAACCGACCGCACTGTTTTGCGCAATGCGTGAAGTATTCCTACAGTCTAGCAGGCGCTGATATGAGTTTGACTCCGACCGCACCGTGTTCGGCGCGATTATTCGAACTCGCGTTTGGATAATCGCGGCATTGAACAGTGATTCTAACGTTGCCTTGTTACTTCCAATAAAATATTTTCCCTGAAAAAGTTGGAAAAGTTCTCTATGTTCGCTATTTTATATTGAATGGGCCATTAAACAAGGTACGATTTTAAGCACTCTGATATATGATTCTTCACCACAATTTCACGCAGAACACGATTCGCGCAACGGAAAATATTGAAATCAACTTCTAGCTTTGATATTAACGTTCTTACTGTCCGTTGGTTACGGGAACTTCAAATTGCCCGGTCACCAGAAAAACAGAACCCTATAGGTGAGGGAAAATGCGCACTACGACGGATTTAGCAGACCACTTAATCGAGCATTGCTTTTTCCCACACCGTTTGTTCTAAGTGTGTACAGCTTGAGCTGAGCGTCAAGATTGAGGTTGCCATATTTACAAATTACTCAGTTTGTCATAGTGACGTTTGGCGTGCAATTTAACTGAGGTAAATTTTTATTTCTTTCATGAGCGGAAAGGTTGAATTTACTCACTAAAACGTTATTACCACGGTTAGGAGTTAATCTGGAGTTAGGAATTCGATCCTTCGAGCTATTCAGAATGGATTAATGTGTGATACCTATATTTAATGCTTCTTATATAGAACCACGGAGCACAATTGCCTTTTTTCTATAATTTATTTATATAAAAATGGGATAAAAATTGTATTTTTCACTTTAAACACAGACTGGTAGCTGAAAGCTTTTCTAATACGAACGTATTAGAACTTTCCCGCTTGTTCTCATTTTAGATCACTTCAAAATGTTCAATTATAATTTTAGGATTAAAAAAATCTCGGGGCTTTTATCTGTAACGTACTTGAAGATATTATCAGCGAACGCAGTAGGCGAGGCTCTCGCTTGAATTAAGATACATTGTTAGTCTTTTTTAATCGGATGCTGTCCAGGCAGCCACGCAATGGAGCCGGATTTTGCGAACGGCAAAAAACAGCCCCATCTGATTCGTGAATCATATTCATGAGCTTTAGATGTTTTTTTTAATTCCAGCTTGGCATTTTTTGCATCATTTTTCTTCCTGATGGCGAGCCGCCGATTATATAAGTGCGTTCCGAGGATTATACCTTTATGACAGGAGTCAAATCAACTTAATCAGCTGTCGTGCGCCGTGTCCGCACGGGCTCGCAACTACGCTGCGCAGTGTTGCCCGACGGCACCTCGCACATAAGACTGAATATTCGTAAATTTTTGAAATTGACGCGTTGCGGCAACCGTGTCTTCTTCTTTCGTTTTTGCCAAGAGGTTATTATAGTTTTTTATGACACTTTTTTTGAGGTCCAAAAATCGGAATCCGAGATAAAGAAACGAGGGCAAATCTCTTCGGTAAGATGGGAACAATTAAACCGACACGCACCATTAGTCACTTCTAGATCATACCCTTTGTAAAAACGAAAATTGAACACAAAATCCTGGTGAAATTGCAAAAAAAGAATGTCTCCATTTCATTCATTTCGTAATGTTTGTGATGGATTCCATCGTAATTAATTTTGAACTCTGGTGACGTTATATTTATTTCCCTACGGTAGGAGGTAGCCCATAAGTATTGTATAATTGGGTGGGACGATTGCCGACCCAAGTGTAGGAGAATTTTGGGCGTGCAGAATGTTTAACACAGCATTCTATGTTTCATGTCCATCACCTCTCCGTGCGTCAACACACATTTCTGTTCATCGGCCACGACCGTGGGGTCGGAAATTGTTATCGCAGTGGCGATTTTGCAAGTTGGCAACGCAGCTTTTCCTCCATTTCAATCCATTAAAAATATCGATTTAAATGATGCTAGCTGCCGCGTCAAGAATCGATCGTTTTACATACATTTAAATTGACGAAAAACAGTGTTGCCAAGTCTCAAGAATCGCCACTGCATCAACGCTTCATTACGCGGGCGAAACTCCACAAGAAAATTGTTTCTGCATGAATGAGTGTATTTTTTGCAACTTTCCCTTGATTTTGAAAGCGTTGGTTTTAGATTTTCGATCCATTCTCCCAAGAAAATCAACGTAGTTGAGGTATAACATTGAGTTAGAATTGACATCTTCATGCAGGAGACATGGACCATTGTATATGAGACATGCAGATAAAAATTATTCACACGCCTAAAATTCTACTGAAGTATGATAAAAGCCTGACTAAAATGAAGAATGTGCGCCTTTCAATCAGAAATAATTTGGAAAGAGAGCAGCATTCTCAGCGACCTCCACGGTCAAAAAATATAAATTTAAAGTGAGTGTAGCAACAAACTAAGCTTTGCTCTGAACGCATTAATCCATGCAGTTCTGGCTTATTTTGTATATACCGGTAATCATGTTTCTCCCGTCGAGTTGTTAGAACCATCGGTTAATAACACAGATTTTTATTTTAAACGTTTTAGTTTTTTTTTCGAATTAGGAGATAGTTTGTCCTTAGCATTGACATATTCATGCATTTTAAATGCGAATACAGATTTTGTTTTGAAAATTAAGAAAATAGGAAATCCATAACTCCTATGTGATCTACTCCGTGTAATGAATATATCAACCTCGTAATCCTTCTTATAACTGCTTATGACAACACTATAAATAATTAAGTTTTCTATAATTTTCTGTTTCAGTCATAATGAGGATTTGGATTATAGCTGTCTTCAATCTATTCGCCGTTGGGAATCCGCTTGCGATCAGTCATTATGATCTGGAGGCATCCAACCAGTGAGTATTGTTTTATTGTCTCTATTATACCATGTGCCAGAGGTCATTCAATTTGTTTGGCTCATTTTGATGACAGAAGTATAAGCATGGAGAATAATATAAAAAAAACTTAGAGTTCAAAAATACTGGAGGTTACATTTTGTGTAGATGGTTAAGAGTAAGGTGCACTTTCCTAACATTGCGTTTAAGTCTCCTTAGAGACTCCGCTCACCTACATATTGTCACCTTCTGTACCATTGATCGGAGACAACATAAACGATGGATTAAGTTAAAATGTGAACAATGGGTAAAATTGTTTAAATTCGAACTTCAAAAGTTCATTAACCAAGCTTGACGATTGCATTCGCTCATCTTCACATGGGGCTCGCTCATCCACTTTAATACTTGACTCCTGCGATCTCCCTCTTTCCCTCTCCGCTACGGATGCAGGCCCATGCACGGCATTCAAGACTCAGAGAAAGATGCACTTTCCTGACATTGCGTTTAAGTCTCCTTAGAGACTCCGCTCACCTGTTTATTTTTACCGTTCGTACAATTGATTGGAGACAACTTAAAATAGGAAAAAGTTAGTAAAAATGTTTAAATTCCACCTTAAAGAGCTCATTAACCATGCTTGACGGTTGCACTCGCTCATCTTGACATTGGGCTCGTTCATCAACTTTAATACTTGTATCCTGCGATCTCCCTCCTTCCCTCTCCGCTACGGATGCAGGCCCATGTCCGGGATTCAATACTCCGAGAAAGGTGCCGTTTCCTAACATTGCGTCCGGAGTCTCCTTAGAGACTCCGCTCACCTACTTATTGTCACCGTTCGTACAATTGATTGAAGACAACTTAAAATTGGAAAAAGTGAGTAAAAATGTTTAAATTCCAACTTAAAGAGCAATTGACCATGCTTGACGGTTGCACTCATTATCTTGACATAGGGCTCGCTCATCAACTCTAATACTTGTATCCTGCAATCTCCCTCCTTCCCTCTCCGCTATGCTGCCGCGCTAAGAAGAAACGCCATATGACCCTTCAGAGGTTGCCAAATTTCCTTTGATTCTCCGCTATGCTGCCGTGCTTAGGGAAAACGCTGTATGAGCCCTCAGAAGTTGCCAAATCTCCTTTGATTAAATACGAATTTTCAGGAAAACCGGTGAACATTTCCCGTTCAATTTTTCAGAGAATTTTTTTCGTAGTTAGATCTAGATCATCTGAAAATTTCGAGAGTGTATATGTATATATATATATACATATATATATTTCCTTGTTAATAAACATTTTCAAAATTCTGAAACTCTTCACCTCTCTTAATTTAAAAATCTAAATTTTCGTTTATACTCCTATATATTTTCAAAATTACCTGTAAAGACGTTAATAGCCTAAGTCGCTAAATGTCTCAAAATTATAATAACTAACTAACTAACTTTTATTGGATGAAATTTGGCAACTCTCGAATGTTCATACGACGTTTTTCCTTGGCACGGCAGTACGGATGCAGGCCCATGCACGGGATTCAAGACTCGGTGAATGAAAAGAGGCGTGGAGGATGCGTTTCATAGTCGAATTCCGAGCAGGTGTAAGAGCGGCGTCGAGAATTTGAGAAGATCCACTCTCCTCCCCCTCGTTTATCTGGAATCTCGTATTCCCGAGGCATTCGGCCACTGCGACCATGTGTAAACTTTCGCAACGGCGATATGTTGTGTTCGAGCCGTGTGAAAAAGCCGTTGCCTCACCGAAATTCACTTGGCAAGCAGTAATTTCAGAGACGGCGCCTCAAATAAATTCTTGCATGATCTACCGTTAATTTATGACCACCGGTTCCCAGAGCTATCGGGTGTCGTTAATTACTCCCGCAAGCCCGATTTACTGCGCGAGCCAATAATTAATTTGTTTCGAATTGGTAGGAGGTGCATCTTTTATTCCGTGACTTTTCTGGAGCTGGCTTTGATGATAGGACGCCTGGATTTGGAAGCGATTGTGTTTTTAGAGATGAATAATTACCTAGCGAGCTAAGATTGCTCGCGATGAGGAGATCGAATGAGATGAATCAACGAAGATATGGTGCAATACAACACGTCGTATTATCAAAGCTTGTTATTTCTGTTTTCAACATTGCGTTACCTCTGATATGTTTTGTTTTAGTTATAAGGTGATCATTTAACATTTCTAAGCGCAGAATACCTTTGTGAAGAGTGGGAAGAAAATTTTGCGGTGACTCCTCGAAAAGACAATATTAATAGGTGTGAGGAAAGCTTAAGGTTTATCTACAGCTGCGTGAAGTAAGAAATTTCTCCGCGCAGGGGGCGCCACCGCTGTGTTTTAGAGTCCGTACAGCTCCACGTGAGTCCTTGAGCTTTTATAAAAGTTGAAGGAATTTCTGTTTAAATCGAAGAGTTATAAGTTCTAGCCATAACATTCTTCTTCCTATTGACCCTAAAAACAACGTGAAAAGTCATTTCTGAAGCTCTGCAATTTGATCCCAGAAAAAAGTAGGGTTAAGCATGATGACCTTGATGCAACCAATCGCGCTTGATCGCTCTCAGCAGTTGGCAGATATCTCTCTCCCACCGTGCAAGCTGTCTCTCTCGCACTTACAGATATCCCGTAAGAGAAACTGGGATCAATTTACAGCTTTTATTATTAGACTTTCAAAGCTCGCGTTTGTTTCTAAGGATTCCAGACGTATGCTGCTAGAACTTATGAGTCTTAGAATTTAAGATACCTATTGTGATATTTAAATAATCACTGATTTCGGAGTCGGATTTTAGCAGCGCGACGTGGTGGATTTTTTCGGAACTACAGCTGAAGATTAACCTTAAGTATTACACTGGGAAAAAAACACATTGGATCTAGAGTCCAGACTCTCGAAAACATTGACGAGAAAAAATACTCTTGATTCAATCGGATTTTTGCTTGAATCAAAACGAAATCCGCTTAAATTAAGAGGCTTGGTTCTTAATTTAAGCTAAATTCTGATTGAATCAAGAGTACTTTTTCTTGTCGATGTTTTTAAGAGTCTGGACTCTAGATCCAATGTGTTTTTTTTCCAGTGTATACTTTCGATGTCCTTAAGGAGGAGGAAAGCAGGGGTAGGAGGAAGAAGAGGGAGAGGAGTTGGAGTGTGATGTGTGAGAGATTTGAATGAATGGTTTCAAAAGAAAAGATAAAGAAATGTTCCTAAAATTAAGAAATATTTTCCAGCCCCGTGCGTTTTGATTAACCGTTACGTATACCTGGTTCAAACCTAGAATCTTCATATTCGGAGCTGTTTTGCGCGGATAGCCAGATTATAATATCTGATTAACTGGGCTTATGCTGTACAAATGAAAGCTAAATTACGTCCAATAACCACATCGAGCAACCATCCGTATCTACTAGGTATGCAAATAAGCATAAAACGCGCTTTTTCATGGAATTACTTTCTTATCCAGTCCGGCGGACAACTCACTGGAGAATGTAAATCCTAGAATGCGCGGCTTTGGATAGCTGGCAGAATACAACTCGGCTATCTACTTTTATTGAAATGAATGACCTTGCTCCACCTGAATATTGAATATCTTTGCACTGTAAGGAAGAATCCACACCGTTGCAATACACAACCAATTAGTAACGTAATATTCGTCGCAAGTAAAAGAGCAGGATTTGCCTTAGCAGAATAGGATCAATAAATCAGCTGGACATTTCATACCAGGCTGTATAACTGCTGGTATATTTTGCACCTTAAGATTTAACAGGTTTAAAAAACACTTATTTTGAGTTTTTGAAATTGATTATAGCACGGTTCATAATAATTTCTTTCACACATCACTTGGAAGATGTTTCGAAGTAGTAGAAGTTATTCTTCGACTTAGTGCATACATTTTTAAATTCTGGGATTTTTTCAAAGGCAACTTTTAAAATAATCAATAAATCGAGTAGGCGACAAAACATTCAATCAAAGTGAATTTAAATCCACCTCAGAGTCACCGTCACTGTCACGATCGTGTGTTTTTAAGATAACGGACTTGTTGAATGGTGTATCGCAAACGCTTTCCGCAGTTATTAGGCGACCTGCTACAGTAGTGGAAAGTAGCTGACAAATTAAGATGAGCGCATTAAAAAAGTCTGAAATTCAATCCTAATGATACGAATCTCTGTCAAATATTTTTTGTTGTTTCGAGCTTCCTTTTGACTAAAGGATGATACACATTACAAGGGTATCATTTTACACCCCTCAATTCCCCCACTCCACGCGAAGCTGAAAGTGCCCACCTTCATGTAAAACAGTTCCTTCAATAAAATTGAAGAACGAAATTAGCCCTCTCAGTCTAAAACTATTTAGAAAAGTAAGAAAAAAAAATGTTGAAAATGGCGTTTGGAATTTTGTTTGTTTTTAATTAAAGTACTGCGATACAATACGATGGCCATTTTTTTTATTTTTACGTGGCGTTGTGAACATATCTATACGAAATTATATTCTTCCTGTTGTATACTTATGAACGCGAAAAGCTCAAAAATACGCTGAGTTTTTAGCCGGATTGTGGAGCCAAGGCTAAGAGTAAGTTTTTGACCTTACCGATGCGTTCATTGCGATTTCTGAGCCACTGCCAAAAAATTTAAAAAAATCCTCTCCTCGATTCGATGAGGGAGATATTCGCAAGAGACCCATTGCGACCTGCCAGACCTTGATGGAGCTCCTATCATTTCTGAAACGGCATGATCCATGACTTACTCTTTTAGTGTATTTTCCGAAGGAAATACACTATTGCATTCTCCCATGATGTCGGACCCAGACCTGAGACATTGTGAAGAGCACCGATCACGGGTCGTAGATCACGAAAATATATGCTATTCAAATTCATGTGTATATATATATGTATGTATATATGTATGTATATATGTATGTATGTATGTATGTATGTATGTATGTATTTCCGCCTTTTGAAGATTTTTCGATTTTTGAGTGGTTATATCTTTCTTACGTTGAAAGATATTTTGACCAATTTTTTTGCATTTTGTAGAGACTCATTAGG